AGAAACCAAATCTAAAAGCGCAAAAGATGCAAATACAAATGAGTTCAAACTATTTCTATGGGTTTCGCTGGAGCACGCACTGGAGGCTTAAATGTAGACATCCGATACTGCAGCACTTCATCATTGGCGCTTCCCACAGGTCATATGCTATCTTGTGTCGAGCCTCTTGGATGTTGTCGTCATTCACCAAAGTTAATGCTAAGCCTTGAACGTGGCACTCTATGAACTTCAAAGCATATGCACCACAGTCACTATTACTCACGTTTAGGCATGGCATAGGGACGTAGGATACCGAGTACTCGGTGACATTGAAGTGTTTCCTCATTTCTGCGGGCTGGACAGCCTTGACAATACGTGGAATGAGGACTGCGAATGCTTCCACAACTTTGTGGTTCTTCATCCCTCCACAATCAAACACATCAATCGTCCGGTTGACAAGATCAACCCACAATGAGATCCAGTGGGTGTCCTTCAAATTAACCGGGATGTAGAGACGATCTACATCAATGTACCATACTGCGCCTGTCTTTCCATGATATGGTTGCTCACCTACTCCATAACTCAGTAGCTGATCGTCCACTTTGAAACCCCTTTTGTTCCCTACGAATTTGCTGTACGTTTTTGTGAGTTGCATACTAAACAGACAAGTCATAAAAGCAACTCTGTCTGGCTTCCAACGACGCAAAGAGGTCTTCTCCTGAAACAAATACATCATGGCGTCCATCTCCTGCAAACCACAATAGGCAGATGTTATTTTATGAGAGAAACATTATCAGAATTGAGATGTAATAGTTAGACTAACATAGTTCTTAAACCACTGATCAGGCCCCATTACACGAGAAGATAACGCAAGGTCATACTTGGATGGTCCAATCTGCAGTGGTCTGTAAAGAGCAAACAATAGTTTCTTTATTTGAGTAATAATTACAAACTTGAAAAGATGAACAAAAACAGTGAAATTTGTCTTACTTGGGATTCAAGGTCCATTCAATTAGCTTGGACCATTTCTCCTCCGGGATAAAAACCCAAGGAATAGTCATTGTCTTTGGCACGAATTTCAGGCAAGTTAATATCACGTAAGAATGGGGAGTTCGAGTTTTGTGGCCGGAATGAGGTCATCGGCGTGGTGTAATCTTCTGGTAGATCGAAGCCTTTAACGGTTGACTCTTGTGTAAGGTTACCCATTGTTTTCTGCAAATCCTCTTGGGTCTGTAATCTGTCGTCTAAGGTGCCAAACAAGTTCGCAAATGAATCAGACAAATGTACATCCTAAATATATAAAACACAAAGCATGACATTAATAATGACCGTGACATTGTTACATTAGGAATATTACAAATAGCACACAAAATATGTCATCATAAAGTACAAAATCCAATCATCCTTGTCAACACAGAAAACAACATCCATACATGAATACATACATAACAAAAGCCAATCATCCTTACAAACCTTCCTACTTCTTGTTTACCTTTGACTATGACCTTGTCTTAGCAGCATTTGCGGGACCACCAATGGTAGAAGGAGCTCCTTTGCGAGAAGCTGCTGGTGCAGTAGACTGAGTTGGAGCTGGAGTTGGTGTAGTGAAAGCAGCAGCAGGTGCAGTGAAAGGTGCAGTAGACTGAGCTGGATCTGGAGTGGGTGTAGTGAAAGCAGCAGCAGGTGCAGTGAAAACCGCTGATGGTGCAGTGAAAGTCACAACAGGTGCAGTGAAAGGGGAAGCAGGTACACCCAATGCCGCATCAGGCCCCATTACACGAGTCATTAGTAATGACATGACCTTCTCCTCAAATCTGGTATTCCTATCCTCCATAGTCTGAACTAGCAGCTTCTCCAATTCAATAAACGAAGACTTAAACATACCATGAATATAAGACTTCATTTCCTCCATCATATCGTGATATTTATCTGTCGATCTTTGGTAAAGCAGCTTCTTCTTCCTGGACTCAACACCAACATCCTTAAACTCTCTTTTTCCCTTTCTTTTAGCAGATACATGAGTGCTATCAACTTCTTCTGCGTCTCCATTCTCACCAGTTTCTCCTACCTTCTCTTGCTCTGATACATCTCCGGCAGAACTAGACTCAAATGATTGTACAGTTTCCTGATAGGCCCATTCATGCTTACTCCAGTCATGCTTCTTCCTGTACAGCTCAATGATTAGATCGACTCTTTCATCGTTCATCTCACTTTTTCGGACGTAGTCATCATGAACAATGAGATCGTTGTTCCCAGTGGAGGAGATGAATGGAAACACAATGCCCTACACAACATAAGTAAATAAAAATCATTTAAGTCATAAACACTAACAACTATGAAATTCAATAAAAATAAATCAGAACTTTCATTTGATCCAAAGGCAGACTCTATGCTAATAATATCCTCATATGAAACCTTAGCGGATCCTTTCCAGTTCCAGCATCTCATGCTAGTGACGTCTTCACTGAGTTTCTCACCCAGAAGACACCCAATGTCTGGAATAGCCTCCATCAACCAAATCTGAAGTGCAAACGATAATCCATCTATAACATAGCTTTTCTGCGTCTTCACTTTCTTCCTAGATTCGATGACTGAACTCACCAGCATATCAAAGGAGTGAAGTCCCCATGGATACTTCCTCATCTTCTCGAAATCCATAACCAACCTGATGTACTTATGTGGGATCCACACCTTCTCGTCTTTTGCCAGAACCATACCAACAATCACACACACATACACCAACCTCAGCCTATCAACATGAGACCACTTATTACAAGTCTTCAGATGCACATTTCGGATTTGCTGCAAGCATATATTTTTTTTCATCCTTAGCAATGTGCCCAAAAACCCTTTATCATTCGTCCAAGACTCATCAGTCTCCAACTCAGGCTCCTCCTTATATTTCAAACCGGTGATTGCATAAAATTCTTGCATAGAAAATCTCAGTGGCCTCCGAGCAAAGCGAAACCACAACTCATGTCGTTTTGAGGTCAGAAGCTGCTTACAAACGAAGCTGTGAAACACTCTCCCAGAAAAACCAAGGTTGTGTTCCGCAATGGCCACAACCTGACCAAATACCGGATCACCCAAGACGTCATTGTACTCCGCTTCAATGGAATCCTTCACCACTTCAAGGATACTAGTTCTGCAACTGTTGTTGACCTTATCAACTTGTGTTTCGGTTCCCTCCTTGAACAAGCATTTAGGCAATGTATCCATCGACATCCCTGTGAACAATGAAGCAAATATAACCACTATCAATACTCATATAACAAATGATAACAGCTATCAACAATGAAACAAATATAACCATATCAACATAGCCATTACGAGTTAAAGAACATCAAAATTATGAAACTTTGGTTTCATAGAAACATAAATTAGATTTACAATGCAAGTATTAAGCTTTGATACCCGAGACATAACACAATCAAACATCATTATCCGACACATCTCAACACTTTATACCTTGGTTTGTACATAGACACCTAAATCATTGACAAAAACTAAAATCAAAACTTCTAACACAGAAAATATGATAAGAAACAATCAATCAAACATAAAAGGGACATGCAAAGCAAATAACAACGTTAGGGTACAAACCTGAAAAGTTCGATTTTGGTTGATTTGGTTGAAAGAAAGTTACAGAGAGGCAAGGGAGGAGCTTAGATTTCCGGAAAACGAGACGGTGATGTGAACACGAGATCTTTGAGACTTCGATTACGAGCACGAGATCTCCGAGGCTTTGATTACGAAGAGGAAGACCGGCGGAGTCCTTGCGGGAATGAAGAAGACCGACGACGGTGGAGTGAGACGACGTCGACTCTGATCGCCGGAGGATAAAGAAAGAGGTAAGGAGAAGAAGAAGTTAGGGTTCTTAACTTCGATATGTCCGATTTGAGGATTTTTTTCCCTTTTATGTTATCCTTTTTTATTATTTTTAATTAATTTATTTTCCTTATTTTTTTAAATTAATTTAATTTTTTATTAAATAATTAGGGAAATTGAATTTATGACAGGGATTTAATTGGGTTTACACAAAGGTTTATGTCATTAGGACAACTTATACTTTAATTTATGATATAGGGACAATGTTGTTGTTGATTCGTTCCATATTAGCAATTTTCCCTATAAAAAAAGACAATTAAAATTAAAATTAAAATTAAAATTAAAATTTAGTTATAAATTATTAATCAAAAACAAAGGAAATTACAAAAATATTTATGGAAATTAGAAAAAAATATCTTTAATTCTGTAAAGGTGACTCTATAATTGACTGTTTTAATAAAGCTAGCTAAATATTTTTTCTTTGTTTTTTGCATTTTTAGAGTTTAGTCCCAAATTTTCCAAACATCTAATACATTAAAAACTCTTGCATAAACTTATTGAACATAAAGATAAAACATTGTCTTACAATATAGTAACATATACAAGAAAATATTACATAAACATGAACAAGAGTTGATAAAGGTTGTTATATAGCAGATCATGTTAGATTTGCTATTTAATCCTTCTAAGTCTCCATTGCGTCACTCTCATCAAAAACTTCATTGCCCACTTTAAACTTGAACTCTCTTAGTTTCTCCACCCACACACTGTAACTCGAGTTCGTCGCCAAAACATCTTTCGAAACTTCCTTCATCTTCACCAATGTATCAGCATAGCTTTCAAACCCAACAATCTTTTCCCATAACAAAGTTCGCTTCTGTGCATCACTACTCTCACTGATCAGATCTTCCAAACACTCTTTTGCTTCCTCAAGCTTAGCCCAAAAGCAAGTATCCTGCGTAGTGCTAGCATATCGAGTCCTCGCATGCTTCACTTTTCGAGGTTCTCTTTTCTCTTTCCACCACTTATCAATCACTACATATCTTTTGGGTCTATTCCCACTCTTCATGTAATGACCACTCGTCCTTGAATATTTGTATTTGTAGAAATACGCAATGTCCAATGGTTCAGCTAAGAGTTGGTAAAACTGTGATGTGTATACCCATTTCTTCCCCATATGAAAATCAAATGGTAACTCATTCTTCTCCACCATTTCAAACACGCCATCCCAAAATTTAGCTAGCTTTGCGCGACTCATATTCACCCTTATCTCTCTTGGATTTGAGAACTGTTTGAAGTTATCATAGTAACCAAACTGCTTTGGTGACTCGTCGCAACGATCTTTGTACCATTGAATGTGCTTTGGTAACTCACTCGCTCTCAAAATCGGAGCACGACTTTTCTTTGTAGCTGTTTCTATACACTCTTTCACCGAGAAACAACTTTCTTGATCATTAGAGAATCCTAGAGACTCAACAGCTAATGCAACACCAGCTTCATATCTATTTTCTGAGATACGCCCACCACGAAAGCTTCTAGATATAAGAATTTGGTGAGAGAGTGTGGACACGTAATATCCGTAACTTTGATGTTCCTCAATGTTAGTTCCTGTCGAGTTGAGTATACGAAACATCCCACGAACTGAATCAGCATTATCTAAGCAAATACCTCCACTGTCGGAACATAAGAGATAGGTTCCAAAGGGCCAGAACCGATCATCATTTCCTCTGGGAACAAGGTCGTGAATGGCGACCACATGGCAAAACTTGAGGGCTAAACATGATAGGGACACTGAGGAAGAGAGAGATTGGTTTCCAAGGAAAGGAGAGCCGAAGGTGATGCAGAGGAGGTGGAATAGCGGTGGAGAAGGTTGTGAGAGAAGCCAAAGTGCGGTGAGTGCGGCAAACGCACCGCCAGTTGAATGTCCGGTGATTACCACTTGTTTAGTTTCTTCCAGTTTCAATCCTTGTGTGATCTGTTATGTTTTTAAAAAGTTTGGAAGAAAATATAATTAGTTGTAAAAGATTCAGAATTAAAACATTCTCATGATATGTTATGTTTAAACATTCAGATTTAAAATACCTGAATACAATGTGATTACTACATAGATGAAATAAAAACATTCAAGTTCCAATCCTTATGTGATATGTTATGCATATGAATGTATCTTTTATCAGTTATTAGTCAAGTTACCATTTGTGTATGAATTATATTTTATTTTTTATCACATTCAATTCCATCTCATTCATGAGATTTTTTTAATTTTGAATGTCTTACAATGATTTTATTCTTCTAGGAAAATATTACTCTTCTATTTATTTATTTATCTATTGTCTGTTTAGTTTATAGCCTTGTAGAGATTTGTGATGATATTGTGAAAAGACACATTGTCTATCGGGAAAATGAGTTTTTATTTCCCTAATTATTTACAATTAGCACTTTTAATACTTAAATATAGGCTGCGCAAAATTAATCCTCAAGTTAATGTTGACTATACAAAATAGAACATAAAAAGTCAAACTAGGTATGTGCATTCGAGTATTCGGTTCGGTTCCGGATACCCATTTAATATGTGAATCAAATATATATATATATATACAAAATATTTTAGAAAATATGTTAATTTAAATGATCTACTGTTTACACGTTTATATATTCGTCAATCTAGCAAGAATTCGAGTCAATAAAGGATTAATTTTATAAATATTTACTATATTTTAATATAGAATACAATATATATTTATAATATAAGAGTACATAAAATATAACGTGTTCTGAGGGTAACAATGTTCTCATTCTTTATAATATGGGTTCAAGTGAGCTTGATGTCATTTTGTCTTATATTAAAAAGTTTAAACTTGTTTTTTTCGGATAGCATTATGATAGCCTTGACGATTTGATTTCTGGGAGGAATCGACAGCAAGCATTATGATAGCCTTGACGATTTGATTTCTGGGAGAGAATAGAAAAAGTGAAGCCATATTTAAAAGCAATGTGCCAATGAGACCAAGTTAGTCAATGTGTGGATCAATCTTAAGTGCTTGCAGGGAGGAGAAGATGTAACCAGCCAGGACACTCAAGAAGGTGGAAACATTTTGTTGTCCAACTTCTATATAACTGCTATAACTGCTGGAATACTTGGATATTGGACAAGGAAAAGAAGCCATGGAGAGTGAGAGTCGTGGAATAAAAAAGTATGATGATACAACATTACCCCTGTTCATTTCTTCATCGTGCGTCCAACCGCAGCGTCAGGTAATTAAGTCTTTCATCCAGCAACATACAACACCGGTGGTTTGTTTTCCCGCCGCTGTGGCAGCTAACGACAAACAAAACCGACACGGACGCGGACACAGAAAATTTCAGCTCTACTGGCGTCATGTCTTTTATATCTCCAGCGATCAATTGACGCTCGGTTAACTTTCCATTCTTTTTTTTGTATCTGTTATCCTATGTTTTTAAACGCTGTCGCTAAAAGTGAAACGAACAGGGGTAATGTAGTAGGAATAAGAGAAATTCATACACTCCCAACAGTTATCAGAGGATTTATATGAGCAAAGGACAGTAAGAATATTTCATCTGAGGGAGCCGGCCAAAGACGAGAGAGATCTTCCTAAGAGTTCCTTCTATTCATTCACTCCCAACAATTTCTGCGAATTTATATGCTCTGTTACTAGTTGCGTTATATTATGGCCCATGGATTACTATCCATATTTATTTTGTATACTTTGTTTTGTGTGAATATGTGGAGTCATCATATAGATTTGATAAAATATGGAGTTGCGTAAACTACTAACACCCTTTGGCACTTGTTCTGTCTTCACTATAAGAAACAACAAACCATAAAGCAAAGTGGATATAAAATTTGAAACAAAAGTGTGAAAACTTTTTTGAAAACAAACAAATCATAGAACAGTTTTGTATTATGATGACCCATTAAATAAACCAACAATGTTAATGAAATAAATTGAAAGATGGTTAATAGTATTGATCTAAGTATTAATAGATATAGGCTAACAAACTGTTTGCAAATAATTGATAAATGAAGAATATATAATATAGGTTGTTTGATAATGTAAGTATAGTACATATTTATTGATTAATAACTTGGTTGAATGATATAATTGATACCGATAAATATTCAAATTGGATATATTATATGAGATGTGAAAGAAAATAATTATGGTTGTTAGCGAAGGATTATTTAAGGATATATTATTAAATGTTGAGTTAAAAATAAATATAGGTCCAACTTTAAATTCACTTAAAAAAAGTTAAAATGTTTTTGTTTTAATTTGTAAGGAGGATAATAGTAATCTTTTTTGGGTATTGATAATTTGGGGTATCGAGTTACATTGCTCGCAATATAAATTAGATACACATGTTATAGCCATACAATTTAGTAAATTTGAATTTGGTAGATTTTGAACCTGGAGTGATTAACACCTTTCCAAATAAATTGTACCACTCGATCACACTTTGTGTAGTTTGTAAAATCCTCATATTCCCAAAAATCAATAATATCGCATCAAAAATAATCAGAAAACTGAAAAAGATGTTTAAAAAAGTGAGAGAAAAAACAAACCTGTGACTGAAAAAAGTTAGAGAGAGAAAGTAGATCTAGAGGACTTCCGGCGGTCGACCGGCGCGTGAGCGTCCGTGCCGTCGCCGGAACCCTCTCCTTTTGTTCGTTTGTGTTCCCCTGTCTTCCCTCTCTACTGCCCTGTCAACGACCGCTTTGTTCAAGCTCTGATTCCGCAACCATTCTCAATGGAAGCACGGTTCTTTGGAGTACGGACGCGATTGTCGGAAGGTCTTTCTTGGAGAGGGAGCGCTTTGTGTGTAGTGGTGAAGTGTTGCCGAGAGGCGGAGGCTAAGAAAGATCCGTCGTCGTCGGCTTCTCTGTGGGAGGTGGGTGCTTACTCAGATCCACCGTCGTCGCTTCAGTTTCCGGGAAGGGGAGCTTCCGTCAGTTTCGCCGTCACCGGTTTTTGGTCGCGGAGAGGGGAGGCTTTCAAAGCTCCTCGCTGCCGTCTAGGTACCCTGGTCCTTTTGGGTTAAGTATTATCTATTTCGATTTAGGTTTGTTTGGTCTAGTTGTCGGTTTTAAGGTTCTGGTGTTTATCGGATGAGAGCTTGTAAGAAGATGAAGTTTTCCGGTGAGGGTGGCGACTGTTTTAAAAAAGAAAGCAGTGGTTCTTGGGTGCGCTAGTCTAGGGTTTGAAGTTTTGCAGAGTCGGAGGAGATCTCGGTGTATGACCGGTGGAACTCGCCGGCGGGAAGACAAGGCGTTTGAAGAACGATTTAAGGTTTCGGTTGGAGGCTTATCGGTTTCCAAGCTCCGACGAAAGTTGCTCCTATGGCGGCGAGGCGGATGCGAGAAAGTTGAGGCAGTTGAGACGCGTGCCGTGTGAACGATCAAGATCTCTCCACGTGTCGGCTTCCTTGTCTTGATCCGTTTAGGTCGTGTAGGTTTGTTTGGTTTGGGCCGATGGCCCATTTATCTGTCTGTTATCTGGGCTTGTTGCCCGCTGGACTTTGTGTGTTGGTGCTGTATGGGATATTTGTCTGTTCTGGGCCTGGCCCATTTTTTAATATTAAAACTTTGACGGAAAAAAAAAAAAAAAAAACAAACAAACCTGTGACTGAATAAGGAGACCCGTTGAAACAAAATGTTCAAGTATTACACCGTTGACCATTAATGGAGGCTCACCGGAGGGTAACGATGAGGACAAGGCCGCGAAAAGACCATCTCCGGCAACTTCCAGGTCCACAAGATTCCAAGGTTGATTCATCTCCACCTTCGGTAAAGCAACATACATGATTCCTGCGACGTGTTGGATTTGAATGTTTCCGGCGGAATCAGCGGCGTTGCATAAACTCCATGAGTCGGACCATAGCGGAGTCGACATCATCAACGAAGCCTGTAGCTCGCTTGTCTCGAACCGGCACTCTTCCATGACTGGAGTCGTGTTCTGTGTTTAAACTTTTTGACTTTTAAAGATAATTTTGAGAAATTTTCTCATATTGTTTCGTGCGTTTTGCCTCTCTCTCTCTTCGGGGTGTTTTCTTTGTCCTTTCTCCTCTATAATATTAATTTTATAATTTTCTTATTTTAAATGGTCCCTCCCATATTTTCTGTAATCATTATTTGAGCTCTATGTAGACCAAAGCATTTGATAATCCCCAGCAGTAACCTGAATGGTTTAGACTTAAAGCACAGATTGCAACGTTTGATATGCAATGAATTTTGTTAAGAATCTATATATCTTTCTTGGACTGTTAGAACATGTGATCTGGGTAATTTACCGCTGTCTGTATTTTTTTTTAAATTTAATTAGATAATAAAGGAGTAAAAGGTCCATCTCATCTTTTTGTTAGGGACAACAAGAAATGTAATCTGGGCCATGAGAAAAACAATGCAAAAATAGCTTGAAGCATCAAAAGATAGAAACACATATGCATATGTTATATAATCTCTTTTATTTTTAATGTTATATAATCTCTTGCATAAACAAGAATCAGATTTGAACAATGATCGTTCTAATGCTAAAATCTCAGCTCTCAAGTACTGAGACAAAATGTTTACTTTGCCGTCCAGTGTAGGCCTAGTCCAGTGGCAGAGAGCAGGGGCCATAGTGTAACTTCTCGGTTAATATATGGAGACTGATCATTAAGGCATTTCCAACCCAACTATATTTTTTACTCTAATATGGAGTAGAAAACACTTCAACCCTACTTCATTTTCTATTCCATAATAGAGTTTACTCCATAAATGGAGTAATCTGTTTTTTGTTTGTTCATCATTCCATCATAGAATGGAAAATGAAGTGGGGTTAGAGCATTTTTACTCCATATTCTCTTTTACTCTATTTTGGAAAAAAAAAAATGGAATTTTACATTGGAGATGCTCTTAGGAACCAAAAATAAAGTAAAAATTTTCTTTCTCTCGTGGACAGAAATTATGTCATGGTTTCCATCTATTCAAAATTAAGGCTCTTCTACAAGGATGGCATGCAGTCACCTATGAGATATGGAGAGAAATAATCCGTCCGCTGCAGAAGGGAATAATTCACACCTTCAAAGGTGGCCCCGCCTTAATTGAGGGCATTAACATTAATTGAGGGACAAATGTTAGGTTAGAGCTAGGCGTCCCCCTTACTTGTTGTTGGGCTAATCTATCCTAAGGATTTAGCTTCTATTATACATCTCGTTCATTACTCCTATCATCAGTTTGTTGGTTTATCTTCATTCCTCTTTTTGGCTTGTTTAGGTGCTTGCTTCTTTATGTAAACTCAATTAATTCATTAAAGAAAATCTTTTGTCAAAAAAAAAAGAACTGTAAAGTAATCTTGTAATCATCAAGTTTGGTATTTTCCTCAAAATCTCTTTGTGGAAGATATAAAACCATACATCAAACGATGATGTTCGGATCTAAGTATATCACCAGACTCACCACTGGAGTGAGGCTTACACACTTTCCTAGTGCTTTCGTATTATCAACTTAGTCGTTATCCTATAAGTCTCCTTTCCTTCATATTATCATAAGTTTTGGTAATTTCCCAAGTATTACTGAACTTTAAATCAATTAATTAAGAAATAAACAGCGAAAGTTCCATAACTGTCTTTCTGTCATTGTTTGGGCTCGGATCCGTGAAGGACAATACAAAATGCAAATCATAGCTTTCTTAAGAGAACATGTGCATCCACGGTGAATACAGAGACGTCTAGACAAATAAACCTTTTCCTATGTGGGTGGGTCTTAACGTTTATCTATACACTTTATTTTCAAGTCCCCTTGAAAATTAGCTTAGCTTATATTCCATGCATTAAATAAATTTTAATTTTGGACTATGCTTAGGCTTTAACTGATGACCATAATTTAGAAAAAAAAATAATGGTAAATTTTCCATTCTTCAAATTTTATACCATTTATGTTGAAATTTTTGTCAGATTACAAAGTTATGGGTCTCACTTTATTCATCTCATTTCCTCATTAATGAAAAAAATTGTAAAGAAAAAACTCCTCTATTTTCTATGAGGAATAGAATGAATGTAAATTCATATATATCTAACTTTTTCATTTCATCGATTGAATATTTGTTCAATATATTTTTCATTTTTTCCTTTCAATTTAATGATCACCAGTTGAAGCTTTAGTTATTAATTTGTTCATGATCCATTTAAGAAATCCAAAATTTATTTAATATAGAGTCTATCTAGAAATACTCTAAAAGATTTCCACCTCTTTAAAAGTTGCAGACAATTTTATAAATTTTTTTTTAGTTTATAGTATAAGAAGATCTAGACGATTGTGTAAAAACTTAATTAATGTATTAGTAAACTTTAGAGATTAAAAAACATCTAAATGGTAAGAAAATTACAGTAGAATAATCTAAAAGTTGTAAAATAATTTTGACATATTATACTCTTCCTCTATTAATGTGTAATGTATACAAGAAATAAAATAAGCCAAACAAAAAAATAACTTTAATAAAACGTGTTCATCATAGGTTATTTTGTTTTCTAGTTTTCCAATACTATTCAATAAAGTAATTTTTTCACACATTACTTAATTTTTATTTTCTTGGTTTTTTTCGGAAGTTTCAGATAGATATAATACAACACTGGAGTACTACTAGGGATTTATTTACAATATGCAGAAGATTATATCATCATCTTGGTTTCAGAGTAATAGCCTACATACATTAAAAACTCTTGCATAAAACTATTGAACATAAAGATAGACATCGTCTTAGAATATAGTAGCATACATGAGAAAATATTACATAAACATGAAGAACAATTGATAAAGGTTGTTATATAGCAGATCATGTTAGATTTGCTATTAAATCCTACTAAGTCTCCATTGTGTCACTCCCATCAACAACTCCATTATTCACTTTTAACTTGAGTACTCTTAGTTTCTCCACCCACACACTGTAACTCGAGTTCGTCGCCAAGACATCTTTCGAAACTTCCTTCATCTTCACCAATGTACTGGCGTATCTCTCAAACCCAGTAATTTTTTCCCATAACAAAGTTTGCTTATGCGCATCAATACTCTCGCAGCTCAGACCATCCAAACACTCTTTTGCTTCCTCAAGCTTAGCCCAAAAGCAAGTATCTTGAGTAGTGCTAGCATATCGAGTCCTCGCACGCTTCTCTTTGTGTGGCTCTCCTCTCTCTTTCCACCACTTATCAATCACTACATACCTTTTGGGCCTATTCCTACTCTCCATGTAATGTCCCTGCGCCTTTGACTCTTTGTACTTGTAGAAGTATGCAATGTCCAGTGGTTCGGCTAAGAGTTGGTAAAACTGTGATGCGTATACCCATTTCTTCCCCAGATGAAAATCAAATGGTAACTCATTCTTCTCCACCATTTCAAACACGCCATCCCAAAATTTAGCTAGCTTTGCACGACTCATATTCACCCTTATCTCTCTTGGATTCGAGAATTGTTTGAAGTTATCGTAGTAACCTAGCTGCTTTGGTGACGCTTCGCAACTGTCTTTGTACCATTGAATCTCTAGTCTCGATGGCAAGACATTACCAAGCTCGATAGCTAACTCACTCGATCTCAAAATCGGAGCACGACTTTTCTTTGTAGCTGTTTCTATGCACTCTTTCACTAACACACCACTTTCTTGATCATTAGAGAATCCAAGAGACTCAACAGCTAATGCAACACCAGCTTCGTAGCTATTGCTTGAGATGTTTCTACCGTGAAAGCTTCTAGATATGAGAAACTGGTGAGAGAGTGTAGACACGTAATGTCCGTACCTTTGATGTTCCTCAATGTTTCGAGTTCCTGTTGAGTTGAGTATACAAAACATTCTACGAACTGAATCAGCATTGTCTAAGCAAAGACCTCCACTGTCGGAACAGAAGAGATAGGTTCCGAATGGCCAGAACCGATCATCATTTCCTCTGGGAATGAGGTCGTGGATGGAGACCACGTGGCAGAACTTGTGGGCTAAACGTGATCGGGACACTGAGGAAGAGAGAGATTGGTTTCCGAGCAAAGGAGAGCCGAAGGTGATGCAGAGGAGGCCGAATGGCGGTGGCGAAGGTTGTGAGAGAAGCCAAAGAGCGGTGAGTGCGGCCAACGCGCCGCCAGTTGAATGTCCGGTAATTACCACTTGTTTAGTTTTTTCCAGTTCCAATCCTTGCATGATCTGTCATAAATATAATTAGTCTTACAATAAACTGGTTGGTAACTAAAGACTAGAATACATTAATAGAGTTTCTCCAATGTTCTAAATATCAGTACAGTCTGTGAATAAATATAGTTAGATGGGAAATCGGTGATAAACAAAATAATTATTTAGAAAATCGGTTCAGACAGCATTTATGCATCCACTTAAGCATTAATCTCGTACTTAGTACATAATTAGTAACTAGATCTCAACCCGCGCAACCGCGCGGGTATTTGTTTTCATTTATTTTTATATATTTTTTTTTTTACTTCTAAATTGGTATATATTATATAAGATGTATATATCGAAAATGATATATTATATAAGGTGTGTATATCAAAAATGATGATTAATTATTATATAGTATAGATTAATTATTGTTAGAAAATGATATTTTGTCATTTTTAAAATAAACTATATAATTTTTAAAGTTAACATCGAAAATATATAACTAATTAACTTATACTATTACAATATTAAATTATATAAGTTTAA